GCCCCTCTTCCGTGGGCCTCTCGTCTGCGCTTGGCTCCGGCGACTCCGTTCTGCTAATCCTCTGGTGGTTTTCTGGGTTATTTAGGCAGGTGTAGGTGGAATCTAAGTGATCAGCAGGACGCGCGGTGAGCCCAGCGTCCTCCTACGCCGCCATCTTAATTCGGCAGCCTGTAATTTCCTTTTTCGCTACTGACACTATTTCATATACGTTCCATATATTCACGTATTCAATACATGCTATTTGATGGTATTTAGTATTTTGCCATTGGTTAGGTTTGTTTTTGTGAACATCTGTTTGTAGGAGAATCCTGAGCCTACTTGGTGGAATAGGCCAAAAATATATAGCCCTTATCATAGAGACTCAGGGAGCAAGAGAAGAGAAAATAGAAGCAAGGAATTTTAGGGAGAGGCTTTTATTAATTTGGCTGAAAAGGCTGAACAGTTGGAAATACAAGTCGAATTTCTCTCTAATGTTTTTTGAATAATATTTAGATTAATACCCTTTATTAAGAACTAATTCAAAGCGATTTTAAAATGAGGGTCACTCTCGTGCCACCTGCTTACCTGTTACTTACTTCCCAGGCTCCCCATGGCTAAGTGAATTAAATATTCATTTCTGTCTCCCCACATCTCCATATAGGTAACACTAAAGATGCTTCTCCTGACGGTGGTCGTCAGCATGTACAAAAGCTTCTTTATCATAGTGGGAATGTTTCTACTGCTATTGTGTTATGCTTTTGCTGGAGTTGTTTTATTTGGTACTGTGAAGTATGGAGAGAACATTAACAGGTTGGTGTGGATTTCTCTCCCTATTCATTTATCAAGCAAACTTTTATAGTCATGAAATCAGGAATAAAAACCTGAATGATTTTTGTCTATCAAAGACAGGAGGAAGGGGAATGAGTTGGAAACTAAAACAAAATGTCCAAATTTTAAATGACATTTTTCTAATTAAAAACAGTCTACACATTTACTTTAGAAACCTTGTCTCCGTAATGTTACCAAAATGTAACGGGAACCCATAATTCCAAGTCTACCACTACACAGGAATAACCACTTGTAATTTCCTGGTGAATTTCTATCCACCTACTGCCAAAAAACAACATATTCTTTTTTAAATTACACTTTGAACTGATTTGGGGTTTTCTTTTTTTTTTTTTTAACAAAGCAGAACATGGGAAACTATACTCCAAAAATGGTTACTATATACGAAAAGCATTTTTCAGAGATTATCTTTAATTTTGGGAAGCACTTCATAGTTTTTTAAAAAGGAATTATACAACACATTATATACAGATGTGTCTTGTTGCAGAGATTGCTTATTTGATACATGGCAGCTCTACTTTTTATAGCAAAATCCATGTGAAAGAAGGAATCACTTTTACTTGTCAAAATTGGGACCCTTAGCCACTCAAGATGCATGGCCACAAGATGGTGGCACCATGCTAGGGTTGGGTTAGACGGCTATGCTTGAGGGCAAGTGTGAATAACAAATTAAGAAGATATAACCTTCAGACATGGTGACTTCACAACCACATCTGCTCCAAAATCTACCTGCTTTAGTGGTAACACCTTACTACTTCATGACCAACTATATTACCCACATTCTGGTTTTTCCTCCTTCATTAGGCATGCAAACTTTTCCTCAGCTGGCAAAGCCATCACCGTACTGTTCCGAATCGTCACAGGCGAAGACTGGAATAAGATTATGCATGACTGTATGGTAAACTTCTCTTCATCACTAACAGTACATCAACTTAGAACCAAATGAAACTCTTTGCAGTGCAGTATATCACCAGCCTTATCCTCGTTAGCATCAAGACTTTGTGTACAAAACGCCTATCCTGGCTATTTAGTCCATAAAGTTGCATCCTTTTACATTGCAGTATATGGCCATGTGCAGGAAGAATATCCAGTGAACCCAGCTTGAGTTATTGTGGTTCCATCTGGCAGATACGCATTCTGTTGGCATTGTTCTTTCCCTCCCACCTTTAACACTTTGGCAGTCAAGTACAAACAGGGGAGTTCCTCTTCTTTAATTGAATTTATTCAACAGATATTCACTGAGCGCCTGGTTTATACTGGGCCATATGCTAGGAGCTCGGTGTTCCCTGATTCCAAGGCATGCTCAAGGTGCTTATGGCAAGGCCCTGAGCTACACCCTCCCTTTGGGTCCTCCCTTTTCCTCCTTGTGTTCACTTCTCCCTTAAAGCATCGGCTCCATCAGGAATCCTGCCCCACACTAAGACTGCAGTGACATGTTCCTACAGCACTCTGTGTTTCTCCTTTGTAGCATGTATCACAGCTATAGTGAGTTACTGGCTTGATTATTCCATCTCTATTTCCTCTCTCTCAACCTCCAGAACAACACTGTCCAAAAGAAATTTCTGCCATGATGGCAATCTGCTCTGTCTAATGCAGTAGCCATATGTGGTTACTGAGCCCTTGAAATGGGACTAGTGCTTCTGAGCAACTGAATTTTAAATTTCATCAAACTGTATTTGATGTTCATTAACATACATTTACATTTTAATAGCCACATGCAGTCCGTGGCTCCCATGTATAGCTTTAGACCGGCAGCAACATGAAGGAGGGACAGACTCTATGTCTTGCTTACCTGTCTGTCTCCAACATTGGGTATAAATCCAGCACATAGTAGGAGCTAAAGAACTCTATGCATGAATGAATGGGGACAGAATTTACCAAATCAAATATAATATGAAGCAGAATTAAATAGATTCTAAATATACAACAAGCAGAGAGCTACAACTGCTTCTTCTGCAGAAGAAAGAGCTAGTCTGTCTGGCTGAAAGAAGTCAGGTTTCTCTGAGGTGCCGGCATTTTATTGGGCCACTAAAGACGGGGTGGGGGGACTTTTGATAACCTGAGTCTAGTGCTCTTCTGTAAAGCCCCATAATGGTGCCCCAAGAATGAAGATTACTGGTTTCTTCTTACACAATTTGAATGTGAATTTGCTATGTATAACAAATCTTCATAAAGCTTAACCCATTAGTTAGGTCAAAGAAATTTTTTAAATGCTTTTTTTGACTTTCTGCAGCTCCCATCACAAGAACTACCATTCAGGACTAGTGCAGGTGGCAGAAAGAATGTCTCTTGGAAGAAAGGAGTTCATTTTCATTGTGCTTCTAAAATGGCACTGAACTTGAGATTCCCTGAGACTAGAAGTGTAGAATAAAGGAAAGATTCTTTTTGATTTTTGCCACGGATGATGTACTCAATGTACGGGGCTTTTGGGAGATTAACTTTGAAGTTAATTATGTTTTATATGGTGAGGGATAGTTCACAAACTATAGCATGTGCACAAATTCGTATTCTTCACTCTGACCCCTCCTCCCTCTCCCCCATCGCCTGCAGGTCCAGCCTCCCTTTTGTACTCCAGATGAATTCACATACTGGGCAACAGACTGCGGAAATTACGCTGGGGCACTTATGTATTTCTGTTCATTTTATGTCATCATTGCCTACATCATGCTAAATCTGCTTGTAGGTAAGTGATGTTCACTGAATATGTTTTAATATCTTTAAACCCAGGTACTTAGATAATTACGTACAATTTTCAAGTAATTATCCCAGATTGCTTGGGGCGGGTATTTCATGGCATTAATTATAAATTGTTGCCTCTCGATCCAGAAGCTGAAAAGACCTTTGAAAGGCATGTAAATGACAGTTGATTGCAATTTCAAGAGTTGTCCTATTAATTATGATCATTAATTTCAAAAGAGCTCTTCTCATGGATTGAGTTGAAGAAATCTCAGAGAGGGCTACCTTTATGGCCTTGAAACATCACAGTTATGTTTCTGAAAGATACATGGTGTTCACCCAGGTGTGGGGCCACCCAGAACCCAATCTGACCTTTAAATACTGCCCTGGAACTGTCAACTAAGAGTGAAAGCCAGCTGGCATGGATATCTCCACACACAGAATGTGTGCTTATGCTCATGACCCTCATGTTTTGGAAAGGCAGGAGCTGGATAAATAGCTTAATCCAAGTGTAAGTAAGATATGCCAACTTGGAAAACACACTAAAAAACACTGTAAAAATTTGGCTTGTGATGTAGGTGATAAAATCCATTATTTATAATAGATGTTTTACTTTTTCTAAAAAATGACAGATTAGCATAATTATCTAACTTCTCCATTTTTCTTTTTTCTTTTCTTAGCCATCATTGTGGAGAACTTCTCCTTGTTTTATTCCACGGAGGAGGACCAGCTTCTAAGTTACAACGATCTTCGCCACTTTCAAATCATATGGAATATGGTGGATGATAAACGAGAGGTAGGAAAGGGGGCCATTGCTTCATGCCCACCCCCAAAGAGATTCCCTGCCCTGCCGCAGACATTTAAGTAGTCTTGCTGTCACCAGTAGACATCTATTGAATTTGGAATGGCCATTGTGAATTGTAGAAAGCCATCATTGACCGTTCAGCAAAATATGCTAGGAAGGGAGAGGGACAGAATGGTCCCCTGTCCAACCGTGGATGCCCTTTTCTTGGACATTCAGAAAGTCATCAAGGAGAGGAAACCAAGGAAGCTCTGAGGAAACCAGCCCTAGGATGAGAGCAGCAGAAGTAGTGAAGTTCAAATCACCACAGCGATGGTGTAATACAGAGCCACAAACAGCCACACACAGCAATCCTAATTAGAAGTGCAAAGGAACTACTTAGTGGTTCCCGAAGGTTATTTTTTTAATTATTTTGGACTTATTCTTTGAATGCTTTAACCATAAAGCTTACCCAAGATTTCCTGGAATTAGCCAAAGCAACAATATCTCATTCTCTAGCTGCTGCTGCTGCTTTTTCTTTTCCCCTTTCTTCATCCCTAGCAAATACTCAGGCCTAGTTCTGGGTGCTGGGGATACAGCAGTGAACACAACGGAAAGTCACCCATGCTTACAGAGCTTCTATTCTAATATTGGGAGACAAACAATATAACGTGAAAGAATAATAATTATTATTATCTCAAGAAGCTATAAGCACTTTGCAGATGGTCATATGGTAGACACCAGTCGGACTGGAGGGCAGGCTACTTTAGCGGGGTGGCCATGACGGTCTGGCTGGGGAGGTGTTGTTAAACCCGACATCCGAAAAACAAGGAAAGTTCTACCATGGGAAAATCTACCATGGGTAGGTTCAAAAACAGTTGCAGGAAGAGTTCACAGAGGGCGTGAAGACCAAAGAGCCAGAACAAGCTAAGGAAGGGGGCATCTTGAGCTAGGCCTGCACAGTAATGCCTGGCTTTCCTCACCACCTTTGTCCCCCTCTCCCCAACACCCCCCACTTCCGCAGTCACCAGTCTCAGAGGGGCTTTCTCTGAGACAGTGGCCTGCACGTGTGGCCATCTGGCCTAGCTCTCCTATCTCCCCTTGATCCACCTGCCTCTCCAAGACCACTGCCTGTGGGAACCTGCTTTCCTTGGATGCACACATCAAAGATGGCACCATGAGTCACATGTTAAGGTGTTTCTAACTGACAGGAATTCATGGTTACCCATGTCCCTGCCTTTAGCCCAATGCCTTAATTCAAAGACAGAGCCAGGCTGGCACGGTAGATTGTGTTGCCCGAAAGGGAGCGACACGTGTTTGATATTCCAGAATCTGGAGCTGCTCTGACCAGATTCTCTTGTATGTAATTGTGCTAATAATTGGGAAGACCTGAAAAGGAGTGATCATTCCCTAGAAGAGCCATTTATAAAAAATGTTTAGAAGTTTGTAGCATCCAGGCTAAGTGAAGAGGAGGATCATGTACATGTGAATGTTGTACTTTCTGCGATAATGCATTAGCAACCCACTCAGCGTGTTTTAGAGAAATAGATGAGCAGAGGCTGAGTCAGTGAAACAGACCAGGAGAGGAAAACCCTGGTAAAGCAAGGGCTGGGGCCAGGGAGGCAGAGAGCCTCCTAGGCTCCCAATGCTGCCAGGTTACAAGATCCCACAGAACCAGAGAAGCACCAGCGGAAAATCTAAGTGCTCGGCTTTCAATGTGGTGCTTCTCTAGTAAACACCCTCCTGACCCAGCCTCCAGGGAGGCAAACAACTTCCTTACTTCCCAGTGCTAATTATGCTATCTTTTAAGAAAAAGATCTGGTGTCGTTTTTCTTTTTTGTGATTTTTTTTTTCTGTGAAAACAGAACCCCAAGTGAATCATTATGGCCTAAAGATGATTTACTAGTTATTGTGCTCTGCCCCCCAGGGGGTGATTCCGACTTTCCGTGTGAAGTTCCTGCTGAGGCTCCTGCGGGGGAGGCTGGAGGTGGATCTCGACAAAGACAAACTTCTGTTTAAGCACATGTGCTATGAAATGGAGAGACTGCATAATGGCGGGGACGTCACTTTCCATGATGTCCTAAGGTACGAGGGAGTTTATACAACCCTGGGTCACAGAGCTGGAGTGAGTGCAGAAACCAAAGCTGTGACCTTGTGAAATACAACCAATAAGTGGGCTAACAGCCCAAGATGCCACACTCATTGACATTATAAGGTGAGGCCACACTGCTCAGGCTCCACATGGCCTTTGTCGCTGTCCTGTAAAGGCCGTGTCTGAGTGCCGCACACAGGAGGGGGTAGATGCAGTGGCCTGACATCCCCAGAGGTGCCCCATATGACTGAGGAGATCCTGATGGGAGAGGTGAGGGGCTTTGGGGAGCACAGCTTCCCCTCGTTCTGTGAGGGAGGAGCTGGTCTGGGGGAGTTTAGTGACTAGGTGGTCCAGCTGGAGTCCAATCCAGATCTTCTCATTTGCTCCATGATTCCGCCCCCAGCTGGCTGGCAAACCACACGTTCCAGACATTCACTGAGACCCCACACAGGACAAGGAGGACGAAATTCCATAAACTGGGTGGTTGAAACAAGTGTATTGTCTCACAGTCCTAGAGGCTAGAAGCTTAAATTCAAGGGGTCGGCAAGGCTGGTTCCTTCTGAGGCTGTGAGAGGGACTCTTCCAGCCTCTTGCCAGCTCCTAGGGGTTGGCCGCCTTCCTTGTAGAAACATCACCCCCATCTCTGCCCTCACCTTCACGTGTCGTTCTTCCCGCATGTGTGCGTGCATGTGCGTGTGTGCTTACACATGTGTGTCCAAATCTTCCCTTTTATAAGGACACCATTCGTATTGGATTAGGGACCCACCCCAGTCCAGTATTATCTCTTCTTAATTAATCACATCTGTAGTAACCTATTTCAAAATAAGATCACATTTTGAGGTACTGGGGGTCATCACTCCAACAAAGATTTTTTAGGGGGAAAACAATTCAATCCATAACAGCTTTTTAAACAGGAATCTATAGGGGCACCTTGGTGGCTCAGTCAATTAAGCCTCCAACTTCGGCGCAGGTCATGATTTCACAGTTCGTGAGTTCGAGCCCCATGTCAGGCTCTATGCTGACAGCTCAGAGCCTGGAGCTGGCTTCAGATTCTGTGTCTCCCTTCTCTTTGTGCCCTGCCCCCCCCCACTTGTGCTCCGTCTCTCTCTGTCTCTGTTTCTCAAAAAATGAACACACGTTAAAAAAAAAATTAAACAGGAATCCATGGATCAAATCCAGAGGTCAATGGGCTTGGAAACAATCACATCTCTATTGTCATTAATCACTCACTGAAATGCAGCATTTTCTTCAGTGATGAATGCAGGCAGCAAGCCCCACAGTGTTAATAATAACCTGCATCTCTGCCACCAGCAGAAATCATAGATAGTTTCAGATGGCATTGCTGACATGGCTGATAATCTTCAATATCCTCTATACCCACCACTGCTTCTAAATTACAGTAGTCCTTTGACCTCAGCTAGATGTTATTATTTAATGCATTAATAAAGAAGCACTTATGTTACTCTATCACCATCTTTTTAAAAATTTCTAAAATTAATTTCATTTCTTTTTTTTATTAAAATAGAGTTGACATATAATGTTATATTAGTTTCAGGTGTACAACATAGTCATTCCACAACTGTGTATGTTATGCTGTGCTCACCACGAGAGTAGACACCATCAGTCACCCTACAACACTATTACAGCGTCATTGACTATATTCTTTATGCTGCACTTTTCATCCTCGTGACTTATTCATTACAAAACTGGAAGCCTGTACCCTCCCTCTCCCTTTCACCCTCTTCCCCTCCACCCTTCTGGCAACCAGCAGTTTGTTTTCTGTATTTATGGGTCTGTTTCTGCTTTGTTTTATTTTTTAGATTCCACATGTAATTGAAATCATATGGTATTTTTCTTTCTCAGTCTGACTTATTTCACTTAGCATGATACCCCCTAGCTCCATCCATGTTGTCGCAAATGGGAAGATCTCATTCTTTTTTATGGCTGAGAAATATTCCATTGCATATATACTGTATCTTCTTTATCCGTTCTATCATCACCTTTTTAAAGAAAATAATATGAGCACTGTATTTGAATATAATTGCTTTCCTTGGTAATAAGAGATATTTTATTTTATGCATTTAAAATGTTATTCTATGAAAAGTCCCATGGGCCCCACTCTCAAAGAGGTCTGTCCACAGGAAAAGTCATGGCCCTCTTCTAGAAGTGGCTATTTTCATCATGTGGCACATATTTGGTGAAGGGCTGGGTATGGTGTCACACATTCAGAAGCACTCAGGTATACAGAAATATGCTTGGGACTGAAATTCGAAAATAAGAACAGGAAGGACCCGGGAGAAGTTCTCTCAAGTTTCCCAGTTTACTTCCCGCTATTCCCTTCTTCCAGGAGCATGCCAAAGGGCAGAAAAAGAAGAGGCAGAAAATACATATGACTAGCAGAGGACGCCATCTCAGAATGTCACCAAATCTTTCCTCCTGGTGACAAATGTTTTTAGGTCGAAGGGAGACACGTAGACACCCGCTGTCATTAGCAGTTCTCATTCGGCCTCTCTGGAACACAGGGAGGCATCCGATAAGATGGACCCCAGCAAAGCCAATGGGGGCCTGGATTGCCCCTCCCTATCCCTGCAGCTCAGGAAGTGATGAAAACAGTTTGGCACTGATGAGATTCTGGAGGAGGCAGGGAAGAGAGGAAGAGCAGACACATTTCCCTCCTCCAAGGAGGGAAGAGCGCTAGCAAAGAAGAGAAGGTCGGGGTGCCAGTGCTGCATGGGGAGGACTCCCGAGCACCTCCGTGGTGTGATGTGGGCGCTGGAGGCAGCACTGAGTTCACGGGAGGGGCAGGCAGGGGCTGAGGGCCAACCAGGGGTCCTGTGGCAGCACCGGCAAGCACCAGGGGCAGAAGGGGCTGCATTCTTCTTTGGCTGTAGACCCCTCAGCCAGGACGCAGTGTGAGTTGTTGCCTTACTGCCCAGGGGCCCTGAGGCGACACATTGGTTTGTTGGCTTCATTTGCCCCCACCTGAACCTGTTGCACCTAGGGCAGAATATTCCACCCTGACCTTTTCACCCACCAGAATTAATGAGGAAGATCCAGGGGCACAAATGGGATCGATGGAGAGGGAAATGGCAGGGGCGGGGGGCAGGAAGCCTGACCTTAGCCAACCCTTACTGACCATCCCCACCTGGAACTGAAGGTGAAGGAAGTATACAGACAGAGCAGTCTTCCTTCTACAGGGAACATTCCAGAGCCTTAAGCAGCTGGTAATGTAGATCAGGGACCAGCCTAGACCTTCGGTTTTACAAACGCTTATATGGCACTTACTACTGTAAGCACCTCCCAAGTATTAACTCAGTCATTTAATAAGGTGGGGACCATGACTGTCCCCATCTTACAGAGGAGGTGACGTAACTAGTCCAGTGGCACAGGAACAGTACCTTGGTTGGACTGAGTGGTGTCCTCTCTGAAAGTTGAGATCTCCACCAGAGTCCCAAATGAGTCCGACCTGGAATGCTCTTGTGTGTCCTCCCCACCCCACCCCCAGCATGCTGTCCTACAGGTCGGTTGACATCCGGAAGAGCTTGCAGCTGGAGGAGCTGCTGGCCAGGGAGCAGCTGGAGTACACCATCGAGGAGGAGGTGGCCAAGCAGACCATCCGCATGTGGCTGAAAAAGTGTTTAAAGCGCATCAGAGCTGTGAGTGAACTGGCAGCATCCGGGTTTTTCTTTCCTCCTGTCAAAGGAGAAGGAGGAGGAGGGACAAAAGAGCTTCAGGAACAGTAGAATGAGATGCTCTGTGATTAGCCTCGTAGCCCCTCAACTGTGTCAGCTTCATCCCCTCGTGATGGCCACCTGGTTCGCACCTGAGCTCTCATCCAGACCCAGCTGCGCCCTCGTTAGCAGAGTCCATAAGGCGTTGCCATGGAATCACATTTTTATAACAGAACATTGATGTTTAAAAAGCAGTTTACTGAACAAATATTTGTTAAAATATTTGTGATCTCCATTTATCAAACTCAACTGTTCAAAATGCCCAAATCTCTATATGATGACTGGCAACCGAGTTTACAAAAGTACTTTTAAATCACTCCTAAAAATTCCACCATTCCATTGATAATGTTGTTTGGTCTTTAACAAAGGCCACGTCTCCTGGGAGTTTAATGATCTGTCTGTTGCCTTTAGACTTATAAGCTTATAGGATTCTCTGACTCATAAATCAATGAACATATACTGTGTTGGCATACACTGTGTTTACACTAGGCATTTCTACTAGATAATTATTTTTATGATTATGCTTTTGACTTACACTTCACACACAGATGAAAGAATCACACTAATTACTAAACATTTATATATAATACACTTTTTAAATCCTGTTTCTCAGAACAACATCAACAGCAGAAACATATCTGTTGGAGGAGAAAATGTCCCCAGGGAAACAAAACACTCCAACCTCCCATAACAAGACAATAGTTATATCATAGCCCTGTTCACTTTGGGGACCCAACCTTTCCCCCCCCCCCCCCCCCCACAGACCCCAAGAAGGCACAGGGAGCTGGCTCAGCACCAGACCATGTTCCCAAGTGTGTGTCAAGACAGACAGGCCTGCTTCTATCCAGAATAAGACAAGAGCAAGGGTTTCACTCATCCATCCAAAGCTCTCTGCCTCTAACAACACAGAAAGAAAGGGCGATCCATATTGGCTGAATGAGCACAGAGCAAAATAAGAAGGAAAATATAGAACACCCAAGTTAGTGATTTAAAAATTCTGTTTTAAATACAACAGGAGCTAGCATCAATGAACATATTTATTCCCATTGTTATGCAAATAAGCGTGGGTTGGGAGGTCTCTAAGCCTGCCTTTATAGCAGTCTGAAACTTAACTAGGGGAAGTAGTTAAACATCCTCATTTGGAAGTTCCTAAGAGGTCACTGAGCATACAGGTTCTTTGGAGAGGAGAGAAGGAAATACAATTGGAGTGCTGGGGGACAGGGGGATGTTGGGTTGATTTCTCTGTTACCGAGAGAATGATCATATTTCCATAGAAACAGCAGCAGTCATGCAGCATCATCCACAGTCTGAGGGAGAGCCAACAGCAGGAGCTGAGCCGGTTCCTCAATCCCCCCAGTATCGAGACCACCCAGCCCAGTGAGGACATGAATGCTAACAGTCAGGATAATAATATGCAACCTGAGGTATGTGTATGAGGCATCCTTCCTCCAAGGATATTACGTGCATTTTTTATTTTTTATTTTTCATTTATTTATTTTTTTTAGTGTTTATTTATTTTTGAGACAGGGAGCGTGAGTGGGGGAGGGGCAGAGAGAGAAGGAGACACAGAATCTGAAGCAGACTCCAGGCTCTGAGCTGTCAGCACAGAGCCCCACGCGGGGCTCAAACTCACGAACCACAAGATCATGACCTGAGTGGAGTGGTCGGATGCTTAACCGACTGAGCCACCCAGGCGCCCCACGTGCATTTTTAAAATAAAAAATAAAACAGTGCTGTTCACATGGCCATTTCAAACAAGTGACAGTATTTCTTTTTTTCCAAATGTTTATTTATTTATTTTAAGAGAGAGAGGGAAAGTGCAAGCAGGAAAGGGGTGGAAAGAGAAGAGGAGACAGAGAATCCCAAGCAGGCTCCATGCTGTCAGCACAGAGCCTGACAGGGAACTTGAACTTATGAACCATGAGATCATGACCTGAGCCACAATCGAGAGTCAGATGCTTAACCGACTGAGCCTCCCAGGCACCCCAAGGTGACAGTATCTCTAATTGGAAGTTTTTAAGTAAAAAAAAAAAAAAAAAAAAAAAAAAAAAAAAAAAAAAAAAAGGAACATATTGATCTAGATTATCTTTGGACCTTTACAACTTGGAATGCTTTGGGGTTATTTCAAAAGATTCTGATTCTGAGTTGTATGAATACTAAAAAAAAAGTTAATGCTCTGAACGCATTAATTCTATTGATTTTTGTCTAAGGAGTTCATAACGCATCTCTACAGGTTTAACGGAGTCCAGTGATATTACTTGACTTAGGAGAACATGGTTTGCCCGAAGCTCTGCCCTAAATGCTTTCTTCTACCAGGTCACAGGAACTTGCAGTAGAATCAGTGAAAATGTTTGTAATTGACCACCACCATCCTTAAACTGTCAGATTCATTGAGGCTTTGTCCTCCCTTAGTTGGGCATTGGAAGAGCATATGGAATTCAGGAGGACCTTCTTCACTAGGGCAAAGCTTATTTCCATTTCCAGACTCAATGTACGTGTCCATAAAAAAGCCTGGCATGGACACCCTGGAGAACCTTGCTCTGTGACCAGCAGCTGGCGGGGGGCCTCCCCATTAGGAGGGTGCAGTTGTGGACGAGCTGGAGTCGATCCAGCACTCTGAGATGAGCCCCTGGCACAGTAAGGCTTTGTGATGTGTAGCAGCCTAGTCAGGGGCTGGCAGTAAATACCGAAGCCTGTGGCTCCATGGCCCAGCGAGATGCTTCAAGGGAATTCCTTGTTCCACAGCCCAGTTTGGGGTGGGTTTCATGTTGTCGGCTCCCCAACATGTGGGAATCAACTGCCACCGACAACAGGGACTTGTGCAGGGACAGTCAGCAAAGGGCAGAGACATAGAGGCTTCATGTGTGGGGCCAAGGTAAGATCAGGACAGCCAGCCAGGCAGGGCTGATGAGGCTGGCAAAGTGATGATTGCAGAGCTGTCTACTTTCAGGTAAAAAAACAAAACCAAAAACAAAACAACAGCAACAACAAAAAATCCATGAGGTAACCAAAAAACCAAGAGGGGATACTGAAGAGATGTGAGGTCCGAGGCACTGATAGGAAAGGGGGGGCACCAGAGACTGAGTAAAATGTGTGGAGAGTCTCAGCTCTTCTCTGACATTAGTCTTGGCTGGTATAAGCTTCATTCTCCTCTGGGGCTGTTGTAGAGTGTTGTCTGCTGAGCTCTCTTTCTGGAGCGCTAGGACTGACCTATAGGTTGGCAAGAATATACTTTCAGGAAACCGGGCAGTCCTTGCTGCCCCCCGCTTCCTTCCTGGTCCATAGCTACACCCCAGGTGCAGAGGGGAGGTAGCCGTGAGAGTGGAGGAGTCCTGGAGGGATACCTGGAGGAGGTGCTACCTGGAGAATTGTGCCCCCTCCCTTCACCGCGTGCAGGGGTGGCTCTCACTTTCCTGGACTCTCTGAACCATTTTCTCTTTTCCTTTCCCCATTGTGGACTCTGGGGCTCCAGTACTGTTTTTCCTATTGTGTTTTCTTTCTTTCTTAAAATAAAATAAGGGTCCATGGTGGGAGGGAGGGGAGGACGGGTGATGGGTATTGAGGAGGGCACCTGTTGGGATGAGCACTGGGTGTTGTATGGAAACCAATTTGACAATAAATTTCATATTTTAAAAAAATGAATAAACTCTAAACTCTAAAAAATAAGTAAATAAAAAATAAAATAAAATAAGGGTCCAGACTGGTGCAGAGGACAGGAGGGGAGCACAGCGTTAACAAAGAGCCAGTAACTGCTTTATTCTCCCCCATGCAGACCAGCAGCCAGCAGCAGCTTCTGAGCCCCACGCTGTCGGACAGAGGGGGCAGTCGGCAGGACTCCACAGACCCCGGAAAACCCCAAAGGAAGTTCGGGCAGTGGCGGCTGCCCTCAGGTGTGTGCCCCGAGTCCTTTCTCCATTGATTCAGGTCCTAGAGGTGTCTACACCCCGTAGGCTTTGGGTCTCAGATTTCAAATTCAAGTTTACCCCCAAAGTGATTTACAGACTCCCTTCGCTATTGCTGACACTATCTGCCCTTTTCCTTTGTAGTTTTTCTTTCTTTGTATATACTAACAAACACCTACTCACCCATATTCCTATGACACTTATATTTGCCCAGACTGGAATGTTTTATTTTATTGTATCTTATCTTATCTTATTTAGTTTTTGTGGTTATCTCAAAGTGCAACTGGCAAGTAGCAGTTTTTCAAATGGTATCACTAGTTGTCCCTGAACAGAATTTTAAAGTCCATGATGAATATAAAGAACCGAGAGCTGGAAGGATTTCATACTTAACATCTATGGATAGGACGTGTTTATGGGGACTTGTTTACTTGTTACTGCTGGGACTATCACAGCTTTTCAGGAATGGCTTGCAAAGGGGTGAACAGCTCCACGTTGCTCATAGGACTTTTGTCAATTCCACAGCACCAAAACCAATAAGCCACTCAGTGTCTTCGGTCAACTTACGATTTGCAGGGCGCACAACAATGAAATCCGTAGTGTGCAAAATGAACCCCATGACCGACACGGCGTCGTGTGGCTCCGAGGTGAAGAAGTGGTGGACCCGGCAGCTGACAGTGGAGAGCGATGAAAGCAGCGATGACCTTCTGGACGTTTAGGTGGAATTAGCGCAGTGCAAGGTTTAATGGGGAGCACTGTTTTCTAGCATTTTCCTCCTATGGTCTAACATGGACCATGGACCATGGACCATGGCGAGCAGTCTATACTTAAGATATCATTTAATTCTATCTCGTCACAAGAGGTCTTTAAGTTGCTTTTTGTCCTGCCGTAGGAAGGCCTAAAACTTGGTCGGTGGCTGTTGTGTATACAGGGAGTTGTTACTGTGTGTTTGAGAAAATTTGCCTAATGGTTGTATTTGTAATATTAGAGAACTATCCCAATACCAGATGTAGATCACTCAAAGATTTCATATATCCTGTCTGTAAACTAAGGTGTATATTCATATATGCTCTTACTCAGTATTATCACCCCCTGAAAGAGTGCTAAGCCCAAAGTGGCTGATATTTATGGTATGGTAGCTATAGTCTTAGTTCCTGTTTTTCCCACTTCTACTAGAAATACTTCCCTTGGGAAAATTATTATTTATGATTGATCTGAAAAGGTCAGCACTGAGCTCATACTAAAATGATAGTAGTTTTACAAACTACAGATTCTGAATTTTTAAAAGTATAATCCTTTTCTCATGGTATTCTTAAAAATAGGCAAAAGATATTCCGAAGTCATAACAAGTCAGTTTCTGTACTCAGTCACTCTAATAAAAACTGTTGCCTGCTTCCTAGAGAATTGTGTGTGCAGGGACCAGGCAAAGAAATTGTCCCAAGGAGCAACAAGTTTAAAACAGACATGCACGTAGATCGCTTTAGGCACGTGGTTACCTGAAGATGTTGAGTTTCTGTGAAGGCCTTTTAATAACTAAGTTTAGCAAAAAGAGTGAAACTACATGATTCAGCTTATTCAAAAAAAAAAAAAATCACGTGCGTGATGTATCATTGGCTTCATTTCTTACACAGGGTATGTTGATTTTGCCGTAAATTGGCGAAGACATTATGAGTTGATTCCAACACATCAGTGCCATGTTCAATTCAAAATGACTCCCTCCTACCAGATTCTCCTATGGAAATAATGGTAATTTTGTAGAATTGTGCTTAGAACTCACAGTTGAGGGACCCCACAACTCAGCTGTATTTGTTCCACACACCATGTGCTCTGAGAAAGGTAAAATGCAAAGCGATTACACAGTACCTGGGCCTTATACTGGGTCAACCAAATAGAAGCACATCCAGGCCCTTACCTACATTATTTTTGGTGAGATTTGCTGTTTAGATGATTTCTTTTAATGCAGCAATTATCTCAGAGTCCTTTGACACCCAGGTTGCTTTATAATCTATTTTCTCTTTTAACATCCTTAAAATAGCCAAATCCTGTCTGTATAACAAACTTAACATTGTGATGCCATCTCTTGCTTACATGATTAATTGTGACTCTAGGATAATGGGTAATTAAAGTCAGTGAAGCCAAAAGGATTTTATTTGGTTTTACGTTCAGTTGGAGTTTACTTTTTGTACATAAAGAAAATCAAATAAATACTGACTTTGTAAAAGAATTTACTCTGAGTTGATGATCATTTCCAAACCCTTCCTCGTGTGTGGAAGGAGGGAAGGGGGTTTGGGGGTGGGATCGTTAGGAAGCAGGCACTTTGCAGACTCTGTATTTGAATATTCTGTCTATAATTAGTTGGCAAAAGCTCTGTCCCTGATATTCATTTCAGTTCAGTTCCTAAGCCAGAATGTTCCTTTCACGTTTGTGTCCATAAGGCTGAGTGAATACCTTCCAAGCCAACAATAAAACAGAAAAGGATCTTACATGGCTGGGGCATGGGCCTGTACTCATGCTGCATGAAAACGAGATTTTATTTTTTGGCTCATTACACTTGAGTAATACAGCTTCATTCTCACAAAACTGCTGAGCCCTTCCTACAACGTCTGTTAACTGGTGTTGAGCAGAACATCATTGTTGTTCATTCTGCAGTGAAGCAAAGGGCCAAATAGCAATGCATTTAAAGCCATAGCACCCTACATTTTCAATTAAGTGAGACAGCCAAGCAGTTCCTGTGGGACTCCTCTCTACTGTTTCCTGAAGCCAGTAGAGCAGACAGCAAGCCGAGAAGGTAAGTGCTACCCCTCTTAGATTTTTCATCAACATATAAACAGTCCAGTTATGCAGATGGGAAAACTTCGGCCACAATGTTCCCTGGTCCTTAGGGAGCCAGACACTGATACTAATCCTGTCATCATGCCACCCACTGCCTTTAATTAAAGGACGCTGTTGGTTCCAAGCACACCAGAAAGCATAAGGGGCAGAATAGTTGACACAGAGCCCCCAAGGGGAACAGACCACACATGCATTGCACATATGGCAATTCAAGGGGACTCAAAGGGAGCAGGGAGGGAGAGAATGGCCAGACCAGTGCTATTCACTCTATTCTCAGTGGTAGCTTGAGAGTAACACCCATCTTCAGCGACTGGCCGTTTGTGTCCTGTCCAAGCTGAATAAGATAAGGGAATGTAGAAGAAAAACCAGTTATAAAGCCTTAAGCAAAAGCATTTTCAAAGCCAGTTGATTGACATGTTTGCCTGCTTCTTTGTAGAAAGTGGCATACTATAGATAGGTGGCTTTCAATAGACTGCTTGGCAGTGGCACTCTTTCTCAGAGTCCTTCAAAAATGCCTGAAATATTAACCAGGCAAAAGCCAAACATCCCTCGTTGAAATTGGGGTGAAGATGAGAACCCCACTCACATGGTCTCTTTTCATCCCCTGATAGTGATTGAATTGTGCCCCCCCCCCAAAAAAAAAGATACACTGAAATCCCAACAACTGGCCCCTGTGAATGTGACCCTTTGGGGGAAGAATCTTTGCAGATGTAATTAGTTAAGGAGAGGTAATACTAGAGGAGGGCAGACCCGGAATCCAATATGACTGGTGCCCTTATAAGAGGAGAGAGTCACACAGGGAGGAGAATGCCATGTGAAGACACAACACAGAGGGAAGATGGCCATGTGAAGACAGGGGCAGAGGTTGGAGTGATGTGGCCACAAGCCAAGGAACATCTAGGGCTACAAGAAACTGCAAAAGGCAAGAAAGAATACTCCCCTAGAGGCATTAGAGGGAGCATGGCCCCACCAACACCTTGATTTTGGACTTCTAGCCTCCAAACCGGAACTGTGAGGTGATAAATATTGGTCATTGTAAGCCACCCAGTTTGTAGTATTTTGTTACAGTAGCCCTAGAAAACTAATACACCCCCAAACCCAATCCAGTCCGAAAGGTGCCCTCGACCATCCCAGTGCTCCAAGGAGAACCTAATTGGAAAAACACTAGTACAGATCAAAGATTCTGAGTTTGTAGTTTGACATACATGTCAAGTCCTGGATCTACTGGTTATTCCTTGTGTAGTCTCCGATGAGTTTCATACCCTGCCTGAGCCCAAATTTAGCTTCTCACTTTTCCAAAAGGCAGGAAAAAAGAAGGGTGCCTGGGTGGCTCAGTCAGTTAAGCATCCAACTCTTGATCTCAGCTCAGGTCTTGATCTCAGGGTTGTGAGTTCAAGCCCCTCATTGGGCATGGGGCCTACTTAATAAAAATAAGTAAATAAAATTTAAAAGGCAGGAGATGTGAATTTATTCACTTAATTTACCTAACAGGTTCATGAAATCTGCCATGTGGGCTTACTCTGAGCACATGTGCATCATAATCTAAATCATTAACTAGCTGTCTGACCTCCCTACCAGAATCCTCAGTTGGCCAGTTGTTGGGCCAGCCTTTTTTCTGTCTACCACTTCAGGTTTCCAGCTTGAAGCAGGCCTGAGTCTGTGGAAGAGAAAAGACCTGATATTAGATCAAGCTCAAATTGGACCATTCTAATTTCTGATTCAAGACTGTACTGCTATGTAAGGTGACCACTGAACATTTCTAATACATAAGGATGACCAGAAAAGTTGCAAGGTGCTGGAGTTTATATTTAGGACCAAGGGAAGGTTGCTGAATAAATTTTAAAGGGATGGTAGAAAACTAAAAGTGACATCTGCTTTAACTATGGCCTGCACTGGGCTTGTTTGATATACCAATTACATGTCTCAGGGTGCCTGGGTAGCTCAGTCAGTTGAGTATCTGACGTCGGCTCAGGTCATGATCTCACCATTCGTGAGTTTGAGTCCTGTGTCGGGTTCTGTGCTCACAGCTCAGAGTCTGGAGCCTGCTTTGGATTCTTTTTCTCCCTCTCTCTCTCTCTGCCCCTCCCCCACTCATGCTGTCTCTCTCTCTCTTTCTCTCAAAAATAAATAAATGTTTAAAAAAAAAAAAAGATGTCTTTTAGGCTTCCAAGGGGAACACGTAGATTCAGTGGTTGAATACACAAACCTGAGGGTCAACAGAGAGGGATTCACATCCAGAAGCATCAGCATAGAGATGGTATTTAAATTCCTGAACTGGATGAGACAACCTAAGGAGGTAAAGAGAGGAGCAAAGAGAGGAAGTCTGAGGGTCTGTGTGAGTCTGCTGGAGCTGCCATAACATACCACAGGCTGGGGGCTTAAATAGTCAAAATTTATGTTCTCTGAGTTCTGGAGGCTGGAAGTCCAATGTCAAGGCATCAGCAAAGATTGGCCTCTCTCCTTGGCTTGTAGATGGCAGTCTTCTTCCTGTGTCTTCCCGATATCTTCCTACTGTGTGTGCCTGTGTCCTAATCTCTTATTATAAGAACACCAGTCTTACTGGGTCAGGGTGCATCCATATGACCACATTTTACCTTAATCCCCCATTTAAAGGTCCTACCTCCAAATACAGTCTTGTTTTTGGGTACCAGGAGTTAGGACTTCAGCATATGAATTTTAAAAGGACACAATCCAATCCACAACAGAGTCTGTCTCCCTGGTACTGGGGCACAGTAGAAGAGCCTTTCATGGAACAGCAATGTTGAGCCCTGAATCTGCCTGAACCCTAACCAGGACACTCAACTCTGAGTATTCTCCCTTCCAGAAGTGCAGAAACACACAAGATTTGTTTCTAGAGTTTCAGGAAGGTCCACTTTTATGAATCAGT